GGCGAGTCAACGGGAAAATGACAATGCATATATATATATATATATATATATATATATATATATATATTCATAGTTTGACCTTGCGAAATGCCGGAAGTTCGTTAGCACACATAAAAATACAGAGTTTTTCGGGGATATTGATATCCCCAACGGTTTTGTTAGACTGTGGACGATCCTTTCCCTCCATCCTTAAACAAGACAGAATGAAGAATGTCATGACCGGATGCTTTGTTTCTCTTCGAAAGGTCAGTTTTGTTTTTGACTTCACCTACAACGGTGCAGTTCACGTCCCATTGTAAGGCTGCTGGTACGGTGATCGTTGCGCTGCCAGCCAGATTGCTCCTCAAAGTGCTCCACCCGCAGACGCCAGCTGCAGGATTTCCGAGTCATTTTTTTCTGCAATGACGCTGCTAACCAGTGCTCTCCTTGACCCTGTATTGCGGATCGGTCCGACCGTTTCCGATGATCACCACCTTTTAAGTTTCTTTAACTTTCTTAGCACGCCGCTTACTCCGACCAGTTTTGAGTCTGCGGGTCAGGCACAGTCTCGTGGCTGAATCACATTGTCACCCGGGTGGAACCGCCTTTCTCGCCTCGATCAGGGACGTAAGTCGGCGTGAGATGAATTTGGCTTTATTTCGGGGTGTATACAGTCAAACGGTGAACTCACGGCGTTTCGGATTTCAAACCAGTTTTCATTTATCGGCTGGTCTGTTTGGCGTCCGCAAGTTGTCTAGACAACTGCTGCTAACAGATTTTCTCGATGGCCAACAGTCTTGAACACAAGATCACCATCTATGACCAGTTGCTATGCAGTTAATCTGAATGCTTGGCTGTTTACGGTTTGCAGGAAACCAGATAACGTGATACTCACATTTGTTGTGAAAACTTGTGCTGGTGACAAATAAGTGATGATCAGCGCAGAGCTGTAGGAAGCGATCATCCTTTGTCAGTTCCAGGAGCATCTACCCCAAATCTGGCGCCAAAGCGGCTCCCAAGCCTGTCGATTCTTCCCCTTCGCGAACCGGAGTCGTAATATTCACGTACTTCTTTATCCACGGCAGTCTCGAAAGTTCTCCATTAAGGGCGTCTTTGACAGTGTCACCGCTACAGTTTATGGGGACGTATGCAGAGATAAACAATAGCTTTTGGGTCTTATCTTGTTGGTTGCGGATTCTGACAGATCTGGTTAGTCTCACTCGCACAGTCGGCCGCTCATGGAAGTTTATTCAAGCGTAGCCTCCTCAGCATCCCTATTCAACACAACACCTTAGTCTTTGAGACCATGGGGTACCGCTTCTCGACCACCTGACACACATAGAGTAAACCCTGAATAAACTGAGCAACCTTAGACCGTGTTCTGGTTCATTACCGCAGTCTTATATATGGGTTTTGGAGGCAAAAAGCCCCTCCTTTTTCAGGGTCGTGAGCAAAGCTAGTCTGTTTATCTTTCTGACGAGTACCACGTCAACCATATTCCTTGGTATTAATTGTGTATGTTTAGGTAGGGTACTAGAAAGTGACGCTTAAATCAGAATTACAAACAGATGGAGTTGCATTGGCGACTAGATTTGGAGCTGAAGAACTAACGAGACTGCTTGCTCCTGCTAACCTGCGCGAACAGATTTCACTCCACGAGTGCCCTAATCGAAGTAGAAGTGCTCAAAAGCCTGATCCAAGAGGGTGTGGGGTTCTTTTCGAAGCCTTGTATGTAGCCTCTGACTCTACGCTCTGGACCGCGAGATAGCAGGAAGACCCTACCTGGATTCATTGACTCGCGTCTGGACCGCGAGATAGCAGGTGTCAGGATTTTCTTGGAAGACCCTACCTGGATTCATTGACTCGCTAGTCTGACCTACTTGGCTGCAAAGGGTCAGACAACGCAGGGGATAAGGCACGGGTGCTTGTGACTCCTAGTGTAACGGTGATACTACTGATCGGGAGGCACGCGAGTAGTATGTGTTTTTCGTAGAATTTCGCTTTGCGTCGACTGAATTCTGTTGCGGAATTCGTGCGGCCACTTTGTAACATTTGCTTGGATTTGACCGACGAATGAGTGGAGGCAACGAATCTCTAGGATGACTCGTTCGGGAGAAGATCTGTGTCCAGTTTTTGTAACTAAGATGCAGATTAGAGTTTTGCTTCCCTGTTCAATGGTCTGTAACCGGTCTGTTGGCATTTCCGAATAAATAACTCCGCAGCGAAGGCCTTTTTTATTTCACTAGTATGGTCTCTCAATACAAGTGCCTTCTGATCAGTACCAGACTCTTCGGTTTTAAGAGTAATTCGTCCATATCGATGGTCACGTCCAGCCGTTTGGTGACGGTAGTGCGCGGTTTTTTTAGAACACCTTATCTAATTCGTCCTTTCTGTTCACCTGGTGGTGCCGGTCTCCTGGTAAAAAACACGTATACAATTTTTACGTAGGAAGGTAGACAGAGGAATTTCAGTTGCATGCGCGGAGCGGCGTATCAAAATTTTTCTTTGCGTGCTCTAGATACTATCTTCGTAATCCACTATTTCGGCCGAATAGTCCTCTCTCTCAGACGCTCCGGCTTATTCATTATCAGGAACTTGTTCCCTCATTCTGTATCGGAAAGTCTGTTCTCCGTGACTTTTTTAGTCCTACCCATTATTGAGAGAACTGCCGAATGTACGCTTTTCGGTGGCACAATCGAAAGCGTTTTGAGCACCATATTCCTTTCTGTTGTACCGCTTTTGGCCCTTTCGCTTGCAGTAACATTGTTTTCTCACGTGCTTCGATCGAAGAGGGTGGAATCCAAGCCCCCCAAGATCGAGATTTTTCGTACTGTTATCACCCAAACAGTCTACTTTACTACGGAAAGGCTCGATAATCTAGTCTAGGCTGTTTTCGAGAAATACACTAATTTGCAAATCAATTTGGCTTTCACGAGAGACTCAACTGAATCTCTCGTTTGTGATATTCTACAACTGAATGTGCTGCACACAGTTGAGTCTCTCGTGAAAACCAAATCGCTTTGCAAATGAGTGTATTTCTCGAAAACAGTCCAATTTGGGTTCAAGTAGAACATAAGGTTGACGGAAACTCGGGGACTGCGCCTACCTGATGAGCC